AACAGCTAAACCCTCAGCTACACCTCTAGCAGGCTTTACTAACACCAAACTGAAGGGTTACAGAAAAAAAACCTGGGGTTGTTTTGTTTTGTTTTTTCTACTGTTGGTTTTGGTTTGTTTGGGTTTTTTTTTTTGCTTCTCAGTGCATACAGCTGAAATATTTAACTGTCAATACTAACTGCAAATAAAATAAAATAGGTTCTTCTCCACACTGTAGAGGTGTCTGGAGTTAATCCAGTATACCTATAGGAAAGCATGTTCATCCACCATTGTTCCTAATAACAAAGCCTGTATTGCCTTTAGACCTTTAGGTGTTTTAAGTAAACTTGCAACTCATGGAAAGACCAGAGCCTGAATCCATTTGCCACCAGACATTAACTATAGCTACCTTAAAATAGACATAGCTGGGTCTAATCCTGGAACTGTGTGCTATAATCCCCATTATATACAGCTTTGTATGCAGAAGGCCTGAAACCAGTGCGTATGCCACAGCTTTGTTCCTTGACTGAAAGGTTAACTGACCTTTGGAACAGCCAGTCTGATTTTCTGGGGTGGCTGTGCCTTTTCCTTTTATTTTTTTCCAACTCACTCAGGATGTTCACATAAATGAACATATGGTGGTTAACATACTTAGGGACATTAATGAATAAATGCTGCATGTCCAGAGATAAAAATGAGATTCAGATAAGAGTGATTAAAAGAGTTTAAAAGAGCAGGGGTTTACTGTGTAACCTGTGGCAGTATTGCGGACACATCAACAAAGGCCATTTAAAGCTTAAGAAATACTTCTGGGGCTCTTCAGTGCAGAGAAATGCACTCATTTTTTCAAAGCATGTATAAATAACCTCTATCATAGAAACACAGCCAATACAGCTACTACCTCCCATAGTTTCCATACTCGCATCTTGAGATTAAAAAAAAAAAATAAAAATTACAAACAAACCCCAAACCCATTGCCACTTCACAAGTCAGCTTTTTTGCCCTTTCACATATTAAGTAGTACCTTACTCCACAAATATTCCCATTTGAGTCAATGGGACAAATTGCTGAGTAAGGTTCTTCTTCTAATTTAAGAATTGCTTTGCTATTCTGTCCAAAATTACAAACTCCATGCCCCTGGGGTGCAATTTTGTATAAAGAAGAGAGGGGGGGTTTTGCTTCTTTAAACAAAAAAGATATACCAAAATCATAATGCACAAAAATAATGCACCATCCACTGATATCAGTAAGAAATGGTTTGAAAGAGCTGTGGTCACTCTGTATTTGGAGTAGCTACAAAATATTAATTGGTGTTAATAACAAAACAGTATTAGGTTAGAGAAATGATGCAACACAGCAATTTATATTGTTCCTGTTCCAAAACACAACCTATATACCTTATTTAAAGTGATAACCTTCAGCTAATGTGATACATTTGAAATGTATTTGGTACAAATGCCTTGCATTTTTCAGTTTTGCAAAAGATCTCATCTTATCTGATTTAGAAAAGGAAGAAACAAAAAAAAGAAGATGATATCCTTGAAGGATACTAAATGAAAACTTGAATTAAATAAATATGTAATGGAAAAAATAAGCTTTATACCATATTGAAAAGTACATGTAATACGAGCTGCAGTGATATTATATGCTATAATTAAGATTGCAAACTTGCTTTCATGTAGCATGCGGAGTCTATGTTTACAACATTCAATGCTTTCTGTCAATTAAGAAGTAATTCCTGGCTATCTGAAGAAGCAAGATGGCAAATTAGCTGACAAAAGGCATCTATCTCCAGCAGACTGTACTGAAATGCTAAGGAGTGTCAGTTGCTGGAATCCCATGAGGGGAGTGAGCATCAGCCTTTGCTTGTAGCACAACGTGGCTGCATGTACAGACCTCTCTACTGATACATTTCATTCATTACAGTGCATTTTGCTGCATTTGTCATCATAGTGGACTGGAACTACTGAAAATAGGATAAATTACTACAGTTTGGGAAGTTTTATTTTGGGATCACAGTAAATAAGAATGAGGAATTTTTATTGCATAGCACACTGGCTTTTTTCCTAGGTGAAATCACACAGAGTACAAGCATCTTATATTGTGCCTGTTTGTTTTATAAATCTTCTATTTTTCAAAAGTGCCTGTCAGAATGCAAATACAACAGTGTCCAAACTGTGGTTTCCTGACTATTCGTGGCCATTAGACCATAGCCAGGGAACTGCAGCTGGTCTGCAGAACTCTATTGCCTTCTAATTAAAAGCTTGATAACAAGAGTGCCCAGTGATCCCAAGAAACTTGGGTGCTGACAAAATCCCATTGGTCCAAACAGTTTAGGAAACTCTTCTGTAATACAAAATAATATTGACACTTAGACTTATTTTTATATGTACTATTAGGGCTAATATGATACCATGTACCTCTACTCTAATTCGCTTTGCAAATTGTATTTTAATACTGTACAATGAGACTCCAAATACAAGCTTATTCATATTATTCATAGGAATAAGTGAAATAAATATGTATCCAGAACTAGATTTATCAAAAATACTTTCTCATTCCTATGCTTTAGGAATATATACAATTGTTGGCCTGAAAGAAGTCTATTTTGGTCCATTCCTTCCTCTGAGTTAACAGTTGTCAATGGTTTTCTTCCTCTCAATTATTTGCCTTGTTTTTATCTTCAAACAAACAAACAAACAAAAATCTCTAGCTGCTTCTCTTTATGACCTTTGTTATTCATTTGGCAGTTAGTCAAATAAACTTCTTGCCAAATCATTTTGTTCTCATTTTGCCTTGGCTAACATTCAATGCCCTGTCTCTCATTTCTGCCGCTAGTTCAAATAGTTTTAGACCATTATTTATCTCTCCTCTGTGCAGAGCTTGGTGCACACCAGTGACATTCCCCCTTACTCTTTTCCCTTACAAAGATGACAGACCCAGTTTATTTAAAGTTTTTATTAGATCTTTCAGTCTCTTTATCTTTTGCTGAGCTCTGCTCCACCTTTTCTATTATAAGCTTTAGATAATAAAGACCAGACTGTGTTGCTCTTCCTTGTGTTCAACGTACATTTCACCAGGAGTGATCACACTGCAGTCAACAAAGATTGCTTATGGAGTAAGGTACTACTCAATTCAAGATTCACAATCTGCCTTGGAATGATCAGGACTATACACAATATTCCAAGTTCAGAGAGGTAATTTCCTCTGCTTTCAAGTACATCTCTACTTACGTGGCTTATAATGTTATTATTTAGCTTTTGCTTCTGATTAGTTTTATTTGAAAATAGATATTTTTAACCCACCCATAGCATGCTGGTTTATATTTAGTCCCATTGATGACTCAGTCCCATATGTCGAGCTTCTTAATGTTACAAATGAAGCTAGACTTAGTGCTAATCTCATTTTAGTAACAACCTCAAGTCCCCTTACCTCCACATTGGTATAATAGGGAGTGGTGGTCCTGCTCCCGTTGCAGTCAACTTTGAGACTTCATACAAATGCCATACAAAGAAGGACAGGTCTAGCAATTGTGCCTACAAATGCTCTATTTTACTTTTTTTAGCATATGTTTTTTATTTACTCTTTTCCAATCAATTAGTGTCTCTTTGTTCATGAGATTATTAAAAATTGCAAAAAGTTCTCTGCCTCTTTTGATGTCTTCTATAACTCCAGGACAGGCCCTGATAATATCAGCATTCTTAATGCAATCAAATTTCTTGGAACCCTGATTTCCCTCAGTACTTTTTTATGTACATATGACTGATTTTGATATCCCTAATATGTTCTGATATTCATTAAATTTTCTGCTGCAAGCAAGAAAAGAATGCATATGTCTTTTTCAAAGTCATACCTATTACTTTACTGTATGTCAGACAGAGTAGTTACAATTTTCTCTACTTTCTTAATTTACTCCAAAACTTTATCAGAAGTAGGACAAACCACCATACAGTTTTTGTCTACTCTCGCCTCTCATATTTTTACACTTACACAATTGCCTTTGTATTTTACAGCAAAATTTCTATGATTCTACTGAGTTCCTTCTGTGTTTCAAATTAATTCTTAATTATTTGGCCATTTAGAACCACTTTTCCTTACAATTATTAGTAAATGGCATACATAGCCATAAGGTTAAATGTTTTTATCTTGGACCACTCCTAATTCCAGCCTATTCTCCTGTTTCTCCTGACAATTTTCTTCCATTTCACTCCACTACCCACTTTGTGCAACGTTTCAAAAATATGAGGACAATCTCCCATCTCTACATCAAGACAACCAAGCCCTATGTATTTCTCAAAACTACACTGAGAAAGGCCCTCTTTCTTTTAAATACAGAAGTAAATATTTGATCGTACTAATCATAAGGATACTGCTCATTTGACTCCTTTCAAATCAAGCGTATGTAAATAGCTATGCATGTGAGTACACAAGGAAATAACAATTCGAGGAGTTCTCTCTTCTTTCTCCCCTTTTTGATTTTGTATTGGTTAGCCATGGATGCTTTATACCATGGAGCAGCATAACACACTTGGCCATTAGGGAATACACAGATCACCAGAAGTACACATTTTGACGTGTATTTTGAAGGAACACATTCCAACTTTCTGCATAAAAAGGGTGCACAGCAGTTTTGTTGGCTGGGACCTGTGGGGCACATGCAGTTCAGAAGGTCTGCCCTAGGCAGCATTTCCAACCAACCACCTCTTACACAATGTGCATAAATTGCTCTGCTAGCTTGCCCCAAGCACTCCCTGCCTAGACCTCTTCCATCCTTCTCACCTTGCATGGCACGAACCTTGAGTTTAGATCTATTCACTCTAACCCTGCATGCCAGTGCATTTTTATTTTTTAAAAGTAATGTGTGTTAACTAACTTAATCCCCCCAAACCTTAGGTTATTCTTTCTAGTGCACTGTGGTGTATCAAATGCTGGTAACGACAAGGGCATGGAAACATATAATATCTTCCAATTAGATCTCAAAGGTTATTTTTTAAAGGACAAAAGTTTTTAGAAAAAAAGTGTCAGCTTCCATTGGTTATTATAACAGATGTTCCCTTGTGTCCTTGTGCTGGATCTTGCTGCATCCTTAAGTGAGAAGTCACATCGAAGTGTGATCCATTGCAGCCTAGCGAATAGTTTCTAATGGTTTCCGTGTCATATAGATGCTCCAGGGCATAGCCAGTTAATGTGTAAGCATGCTTATCAAAGTACTGCCTGTGGGAGCTGTAATAATTTGGAGAGGCTGCTGGGTGGTCCCCTGGGGTTTGATGAGGGGACATGTCTGAATGCAGGTAGTCTTTAGCTAGTACCAAGCTAGATTTTGATATTCGGTCAGAATTGGGGCTGCTTATCCTAGACAGTGTTGTGGGGCTGTTGTCATAGTCATTTTCACGTGGGCTCATAATCTTTCCATCTCGTTGCTGGATGTGTTCACAGGGAGGAGTGCTGGCAACCGTCGGGACGCGGCAGACATCCCCTGCCAGCTGCTGCTGAGGATAGTTTGCAAAACAGATAGTGTGCTTCTTCCCTGCGCCGTTAATGGAGACCAGTGGATCAGGGGTCGTTTTCCGCAGCTGTAGTCTGTTTTCTTCCTCTTTAATCATTTGCTGGGTGGCTCTTATTAGAGTTTCAATTTTGCTGGGCTCATGCGGGCTGCTCTGGTATTGCTCAGTACGGTATCGGTCACCTGATTCACTGGCAGAGCCAGGATCGGGTGAGCTAACAACACTGTCCTCATCCCAGTGTCCTCTCCCTAGGAAAGAGAGAAAGGGGAGAAGCATTGAGGTTGAAGGAGGCAAGCAATCTTGAAGAACAAGTACACTAAACCTTATTTTACAGGCAGAAAACCAAGACAGAGGCAAGTGACTCATAACAAATTCACCAAAACTGGCCACGGTAGAGCCCTTGCTTTTCAGTGACAACCTCTAGTTTCCAGTGTCTGCACATGCAACAAGTAACACAGCTGAAAATATACAAAGAAGAGATCTAAGCACCTCAACACAGACATCCAGTGCCACCTGAGACACTCTGGGGTAACCAAGCGTGTGCACGGGCCCAGCAGGTATGGCACCAACTCTACAGGAACTCTGTGTCTTCTGGAGCAGCTAGAGGCCAGGCAGGGTACCCTAGGGCATGTCAAAATGCCCTCCACAACGAAGTTCAGGCCTCTGACCCCTCACTACCTCTTTGCATCAACAAAGTCTGAGTGAATTGGGACCATGGTGAAACCACAAATCTCAAGGAATTACAAATGGACATCATTCCAACATGTCTTCTTAGGCCTTTCCAGGAACTAAAACATAGAGACAGCATTGTGGAAAAGTTTGTGGCCCTGTAGTGACTTTACACAGCTTACACAACAATAAATAAACACAAGTAATGAAGCAGTTCTTCTTTAGAAGTATAAGAACCCATGGCTGTTAGACAAGGTTACTGTAAAAATGTGATGTCATATCCCAATGCATAAATATTTGCTGTATAAAACTTTTAGAATGGGAAAATATAACTACGTTCTTAACGCTCTTTAAAAAATAAGGCCCATAGACATATCAGAGAAGGTGTTCAGCTTGCTTGTAGCTGAAAGGACAGACAGAATCAGACCTGTCAATCCTCACTAGGAAGAAAGTGAGTGGCCCCCAGACGTGAACAGCCAGCTAATGCCACACTACAGTGAAGGGCTCGATAAAGGATTTGCTGAGATACGTGCCTGCAAGAGGGCACGTGTTGGACTTGCACAAATTAGTTAACGATGCCTTTGCCTCAGCACATATAAAGTCCTCTTTGGGGATGAGGACTGTTACGTTCGTTGACAGGACTCCTCAAAGGAAACCTATTTTCAGACTAGCACAGGTAGTTCCCCTTGCTCTGTGTTGGGTCGAGGCATATAAATCTGTTTGGGTGGTAGACCTACTGCTGTGTTGCAGAGTTCATGACAAAAATCAGTGATGGGCTTTTATAATAAACGTATCCTGCCATTTGTCAGTGGAAGTACTGCATTGTGGAGTATCTCATGAGCATAAATCTACCCAAAATGCCAGGGCCTGGAGGTGGAAGGGAGCTCCAGCGACCAGAGCACGTGGTACACCAGCACACCACGACACACTGGGAAGCTGGTCGGCCACGGCTCTAAACCACTTGCTCAGTTTGTCTCACTGCACAGACCATATCTGCAGTGTCCCAGACTTCCTGAGTGTGACCAGAAACACGTGGGTTCATATGCAATAACCAGGGCCTGCCATACTGGTCAGCTAATTGTCATTATTGTGAGGTGACTCCGAGCCAGAACTACCAGAAGACACATTAAAAGAACAGAAAAGAAAGAAAATATTTTCTGCCCAAAGAAACTGCCCTGACAGAAATGTTCACGTAGTATTGTCAAAAGGAGATTTATTTGTGAAAGACCAAGGTTTGAAACTGCCTAAATCTGAATGAAAATGGCACATTTGTAAGGAAAGATGAGATGTTCCTCTCCTCAACTAAGACCAACATGTCAGGGTTTACCACCAAAGCTACATGCAGACTGAAGGCCTAATGAAACACACAAGACTTGATACAATAAAAAAAATAACTGCAGCACCCGGAATTACAGCAAAATCAAGGAACAAACTAAAATCAAATTATATTATCCATTTGCATTGATTATCCTTGATGAAAGTATGGAATAAATATTTAGCACTTTTGTATTTGTACCTGCATATGATATTTCTACATTATTATCTTTCTATGCTCAGCAAGAATTATCATGCATAAAATTTGCCAGCAAAATTATTATACATTTCTCAATCTTCTTTTCTGGAGGAGAAAAAGCTAGAGAAACACAAGTATGAGAGAAGTACAGAACAGACACAAGGAAGGAGATGTGCTCTCACTGGAAAAGTGGAGAACAGTCCTCATCAGCAAAATTTAGGGCTCCTTTTCCTTCCTCATTTTTCCTCTGACTCGATTTCCCAGAACTTGCTATTTAACCATTTTTCTAATCTCAACATAATTTTCCTCAGATTGGAGTAAAATAGTACAGTTCTTTTTGATTTCCAAAACCTCATTCTGCAAGTCAATGGAATGGTACTGATGTAATTAGCTTTTATGAGTTCTGTAATACAACCTATGTTTTGACAGATTATTTTAATAGAAAAGCACTTTTTTTTTTATGCTGAATCTATCCTTACAACCTTGAACTCTGACTTTTGGGACAGTTGCAGTCTTTCAACTCTCAGCCTACCCTTTAAACCTAAGGACCTTTGGTTTTTTCGAAACCCAAGATCAGCCTTTCGCTGAGGGTTTTTTTTGTTAGCGTCACCCTCTGAAGATGCGCTAATGCACTGAGTTTGCAACCTGCCAGACACCAAGCAAGGCTTCAGGCTTGGTGCTGAAAGGATGGAGAGACTCAGATTGGCTAAAAATTATAGCTGGGGATAAATGTCTGAAACCAAAAGAAAATGTTAATTTGAATTGCCCATTTCAAATAAAAATAAACAGCAAACATTACAGAATCTAGTAATAACCAGTGCAGAGAAAAAAGTCATTTGGAGAACAATTTCTCCAAAGACTTTAAAGATTTTTTAGTATCTACCTTGGATCTAGCTCCAATTTTTTGCTAAATATATTCCATCCAAAGTAGTTTGTTCTTAAGTCAAATAAATAACACATTTCTATCAGGTGTATCATTTTGGTTATATTTTTAAGATCATCCTTAAAATCTCACCAGTCAGATATTTCCATCTTAATTTCACAGATTAAAAAATATGGAACAAAATTCTATTTTGCTGCATATAAGCCAGACTGTCAAACTCAGCTTGAATTTTAAGTATTCCTCATCTCCATAGATGCAATCTCTGAGACAAGGACATACATCAAGAGTCTCTCTCATTTTCTGTCTCTCACATAAACAACTGCACATCATGTTGCTTTATCTGAGATGGTGCCTCTTCTGCAAATCCTTGTTATCTCTTACCATGAATCCTGTGCACTGACGTTATGTGGGGCATACTGTTCTCATACGCTTCTCTGCTCTCAGGGGACGACTTAGTCAGAGGCAATGCTGAACGAGAACCCCACCAGCTCTCCCTTCCCGGCTGTGGCGTGCCAAGAAAATACCGGCCAGCTTCACATCTGCCTCCTTCGCAGGCCTGAGTATGGAAGTGTCTGTCATCGGTCAGCCTGGAGTGGTCGAGCGCAAAACCGTAGCAGAGAGCACTGCGGTCCGAGTACTGTCTGTAGGCACAGGAGACGTCGTGGTGCTGGGAGCTCGGTCTGTCCGCCGGCTCCAGTAGCTGGGGAGAAGCCGTATCGGTCAGGGGGCTCCCGCCCCACTGGCTCTCGTGGTCAGACTCAGATCTCTCGGTGTGAAATCCAGAATACTGCAAAACAGGAGAAGCAGTGGGGAAATTACTATGCCTGGGTGAAATCTGCAAGTAACTGCACTGAAAAGACAGAGTATGTATGTGATAGGGTGTTTTTGGTGAGTGTGCCCACCTCTGCACCTTCTGATTGGACTCCTAGTCCTTTCCTGTACAACACTCTGTAATGAGCTCACAGATGACAGGACAGACCTCATGAAAGTCTAAAACATCCCATGTCGACCCTTAACAGCCATCTCCTTTATGATGTGTAATATTAGGCTCAGCAACGTCAATGTTGCGATTCAATATTTTTTTCATATGTCCAGGTTTTTCTTATTGCTTTGAAAGCTGGTGCTTATGCTCAGCAATGGTGCGCCAACGCTCCTCGGCAAAATGCTTTCGAAAGGGACTGAAATAACGTCGCTCCTGGAGCATTCTTGCATGTCAAATTGAAACTGAATGTATTCCAAGCTCTTTTTCTAGGGGTTCCCTCTCTTTTCCTCATATTTTGTTTGTTCTTGGATTTTCTTTTCTTACCTGGAGTGGTATCTTTGAACTTCTTTCCTCCTATTAGTAGGGAAAAGAAGCCTCCTGTAGGTCCTGGGACTACCAACACTACTACAGAGTGAAGCTCCAAAGTGATGGCAGATCAGTAGGAAGCTAAAAATCACAGCTCTGTTGCAGTGTGGGAACAAGGAAAATCCAGAAACTATTCACCAGAAAAGGTGACTGCTAGCCAAAGCAGGCGGAGTGGGCATTTGGCACCCTCACTTAAGCAGGGCCCTCCCAACACAGAAGCGGCACCTAGCAGGCAGTTGGAAAAGCACATGGAATAGGAGCGTGGGCATGTGTTTAGAGAGAAGTAAGGGTTAAGTTAAATGTCACAGATTTCTAGATGTTCATAATGAATGTTTCAAACTTTTAGATACTTTTTGGGAAAGAAAAGAAATAAAAAGAATGCTTATTAAACCTCCTAGGATTTAGCTATCGCATTTTTAAATCTTTTTATTTATTGGAACTGTCGAACTTCATGGAACATCTTTAAATCAATTTCACCCATGATTACGGATTGGGATGAGACCAAAGCTGTACACGCTCACCTCTTCAGTACTGCACTCTTGTCACAAATCAATGCATTACAACATGAAACATTGGAATTCTCTCATTCCATCACTCACCTTCCAGATGCCCACTCTGCCTTTTCTTTTAATAGGCATTAGGGCCTCTCTCCTGAAAACATAAGCTTACCTTCCCTTTCATTAGATTGAGTTGCTATGAAACTCCTCATTATCATCCAGGATCAAGGTTTTATGCACTTACCAATCGAAAGTACTGACCAGATGTTTGACTTACAGAAACTTAAACCATCTGTGCAACATCAGTAGTGGTTTTGGCATTTAATTGGGTATTTCTTCAGTATTCCAGTTTATATTTGTGAATACTGTTTGTTAACACAATAGGTTATTCAAAGGAAAGAAAGAAAGGGTCATGGCTTCGAGGAGCTCGATTCTATTTTGTTATTAGTTGTCAGAGGAACACCCATAGGCAAAAAGCCTACCAATAGATATGGAGGAGGTCAGCAAGTTAGTACCACCATATTCATCGCAAGGTTTTAGAGATGAAATGATAAATCTGATTTTGCATGGAGGTAAGATAGTTACAGAGCCACAAAAGAGTTCTTTTAAATGCCAGTAACTAGGAACTTTATTCAGCCATCACAACGTTATGTGACTAACTAGAACATCTAACTCTTTTATTTTCCTTTCAGATCTAATGTCTTTAAACTGCTTAGTCACAAAGTTATCTTCATAAATAGTGACTGAATTATTGTAAAATTTTTGACAAAAATATATAGATACAATTGTTTCCAATGAAAAAATCAGAAATTATAACAAGATTTTGACTGTTAAATTTTAGTTAAAATGAAAATGCACAAAAAGAAAACTACTTTTGTACCTGTTCTTAATTTTAGAATTATTTTTAGTGCTTTTGGGGGATTTGACTTTTATAAACTAGATTTTTTAATTAAAAAAAACTTTAACTTTTTTTTTAAAGTTAAGCTGAAATACAGGATAATATAAGCATAAGTGTAAGTATAAAAAAGTTAAAAGTTCATTTATTTTCTTATTAAAAACAAAACTCATAGTAAGTATTTCTTTCATAAGGAGGACAAGGAAAATTAATTTCTAATTATATTATAATGGAATTTCATTTTTTTGGACAATTTATGATGATAATAAATGCCAGAGACTCTTTCAAACTGAAAATTCTTCATTTCATTTAGCCCCAATAGCTATTCTTCTATTAGTTCTTTGTTTGTAAGGACACCTCAAGGTCCAACACAGCTTCTCTTGAAGGGAATTTCTCCATTTAACTGAAAACATACTCAATTTTTTTTTTTTATCCTGAACCTAACCACAGAGGATTCAATTGCACAGGCCTTTGTGCACTTTTCTTAAAGAAAGCAAAAACATTTCAAAGGGTACTTGTTTGGTACATCAGAAATGCACCATGTAATGTCTTATAACCATGTAGTCAAGACCAACCATACTTCATGCATATTTTTTGTACTTGATGTAAATGATGATTGAGATCTGACCCATAGCAGCTGCTAGGCCATGGACAGAATTAAATTAACACACTGAATTGCTTGTGGCCCACATGTCTACCAAGGTTTGATTATGACTGCCTACTCTTAAGGTAAAACATAAGCAGACATAGGCCAAAAATACGTCAAATTCCCTTTAAAGCTAACCACATCTCTATTTGGCATCATCAGGCTGCCTCGACTGCTGCAGTCCTACCACTGCCTCTTCTGGGAATCTGATGTTGACAGGTGGAGACTCCAAATACGGGTATGTGTGACATGTTGACGGGGGGGGGGGGGGAATGAAAGGATGATCAAAGATACTGCTTTACTGAAATGGGAGTGGAAACACTATCTCTCAAGTCAGAATTAGGCTCCCATGTGTCAAGTGATGAAAGACCATGGAAAACGGAATCAGCTCTACTGGAAATTATGGCCAATTAAAATTAGTGAAAATATAATTTTTTTTTCAATCCCAGTCCTGCCTCACCAAAAATGTTTTCCTTTCTGCTAATTTTTGCCTTCTGACTCCTATCAGGCAGAATTTATTATTTTGGGGTTTTTTTGACAAAGTTTAACCAGCAGACAGAAGTTAAACATGATAAAGAACTTCAGACAGGCAACATCTGAAATCCCTTCAGGTGATCTCTGAATTGTCTTCTGGCATAAACAATAACAATAAATAAATCAGATGGTCCTCCAGCTGGTTCCTGGAAACTGAATTGCCACCTCCAGGTACTAGAAATTTCTTCCAGAGTGCCAATCCAGTGTCCCATCACAGTGAGAGCACACCAGTGGGATTAGCACAGACGTAAAAAGGGGCTATAGGCCATCACTGATGCTGTATTCACTCCAAGAAAATCTTCAGGAGGGCTGAAGGGGCAAGGAAATAGGAAAATAGAAGTTCCATATCTAAGAAAAGCTTACTTTACGAGAGCCCATGGAAGTGCATTAGGCCAGTAGACAACTTAATATTTCTCAGGTGATTTTCTTTTGCCTGACCTTCCATTCCTACAGGTGTCTCACTGGCCTGAGCACTCATCCTGCCATATGCAGCAGCAGCAGCCTGCTCCACACACCGTGCCAGATGTTCAAACAATAGAAGTTACAGATATCTAATTTTCTGGCAGCCTACTCAGGTTTTTATCATTATAAACATTAAATATATAGTGAAACCCTCTCAGAGTTCTCTTTTCCATGAAAAACTTTCACTACACCAGCATTAACAGCTTTCCTCTTGATTTGTGTCTTAACCATGAGAAAAAAAACATCACAGATGCGGGCTGCATTGTACTAAGAACATATGCATGCTTTTAAATCACTTTTATCTTACTTTTTACTAATGTAATCCTGAAATGTAAAATATGTTCTTTTTGCATTCACTGTTATAGGCAGAACAGATGGTGAAAGGCTTAGATTAAAGTAATACAGCATGTCCATTAAAATAACCCCCACTGCTGGTGACTCTTCAGCAGATCAGGAGTTATGTTTACTATAAAAAGAGGGGTTTGCTTTGCTTTTGAATACACTGGAAGCTGCCAAAGCTTTAGGCTACAGGAAGAAATGAAACAACAAAACAACAAAAAAAGGCTGACTAGAATTCAACCTGTTATCTTTACCCATAGGGTGATACGCCCAAATAGAGGTGGATTGCAGAATTAATCCAGATTATCTGTTTAAAGGAGCTATAAAATCAATTTACCTCCAAAATCAGGTGTATTAATATACATCTACTAGAGAAGGCTCTTACTTTCAAAAATTCATGCATGCTGTAACACACACTAAAGCCTCCATCCAACAGCTCTTGGGTATATCCTTACTTGTATGCGTGCGTTTGTTTTATACATATATAATCTTTATCCAAGAACTAAGAAGAGATATGAAGCAATAAATGTTTATCCAGATCCGACCATAAAACATTTCCATTAGAGGCAGACAACAGATAATTTTAAGTATTTTCTTTAAACAATCATCATTAATGGGAGATTAAACTCCAAAGCAGTTGTTCAGATGATCACAATTAAAATGTTTTTCCAAACTTGTTGCTATTTCCTGTGTACAGAATAAATGAGGTCCAGGGCTAGCTTTTCGGAACACAAAATAAATGAGGTCCAGGGCTAGATTTTGGGAGCCCCTCACAATGATTATTATTACGGGAGAAGACTAGAGGCATCTTTTAACCAACTCACAATTTCCTTTTTTCTGCAAATCTCTATCAAGTCCTCATCTCTCCTGGTTTTTCACCTCCTCTTTCAGCTCTCCACCTCTCTGGAAGGACAGGACTAGAAAAGCACTGTTCAAAGTGTCTGGGCAAATACTACAGCTGTGTCATGAATTTACGGCTGCTCTCCTCTCTACTTGCCCTTCCCCTGTCTGGGGCTGGTTTCAGAGAACCCACTAGCCCACTGTACTAACGTCAGTCAGTGTTAATCAGATACTGACCAATACCTCTTAATTTAATGAACTCATTTTTTTCTTAAAGAGTCTACAAGCACCATATTACACTATGCCTGCTTTTGCATAAGTTTTGAGGAAAAAAAAATTAACCCTGTCATAGGTGACCAAAACGTTCACGTTTTGCCCTAGTAGTAAACATTCAGCTGAAATTTATTAACATGGTTTTCACACAGTTCACGTCTCATAGAGCTATCCTAGGGGCACACAGCTGGCAAGGGAGAGGATTCTCAGTCATCACCCAATAAAGCATATGATTCCCTTTTCTCGTCAAGACTGAAGCAAAGTAAATGGCAATGGGAAAAGACAAAAAAAAAAAAAAAGGAAAGAAAACATGTACATTTAAAATTGTCTAGGTGGTCTTAACTTTAAGAAATACTTTGCCCACTGCCATTATTTTACTAATAAACTTCCTGCTTCCTTCCTCCACCAAAATGCAAGCTCCTGTGTAAGCCAAAACCCATGACTTCACGTTTCAGCCATGGCTTTTGGGTCGCACTCGTAATTCTCTGCAACTGACTGGCAAATTAAGTGGGCTGGAGACTGAGGGACACAGGCCATACCACCTGCTGCATGTTCTTCACAACAGCTTTTCTTAGTCTTTCAACAGTTTATTCAGTGGTGGAGAAGGATGAGAGGGATGCAAAGCCAAGCTGCCAGCATTGCTTGTGGTGATGTGCTACAATGAACGGTATGACCATTTTTCAAGATACTGGCAACTAGCACGGCTGCTTCTTTCTGAATGATGAAATCTGTGACTTTACTACCAGGCAGCTGGTAAGGAGGATGTAAAATGAAACTGAAGACTAAATATCCTGAGCTTTCAGACAACAATCCCTGATAAACCAACAGTCTCAACACTGCACTGCTAGTTCAGGATTTTTTCTGGTGACAGAGAATAAGGAGGTACTGATGAAAGTCACACTTTCAGAAAGCAAATTGATGTGGGAGGTTAACAGGTCTTCAGCTGCGATTGTCCTGCTAGCAAAGAAGGACTTCTGAAAGGACTGTGTAAGGGGAGATGAAGGGTAATTTCAGTAAATCAAAGATGGTAACCTTAAAAATCCAATTCAGAATAATTGTAGTATCTTTCCCAATTCTTTAAAGCAGTTTTATTACAATTGTTTGGTGTAGCGCATTCAAGAGAAAGACTATTCTTTAACAACCCACAGAAATGCATGTGAACAAATGATTAAACAACAAGAGCCATAACAACCTCTGGCAAAATTAGATTCTTAAAATTAAGAATCTGAGTTCATATCTAGGCGCTTGGTTAAATATTCCCTGTGCCAAAAGCAGGTGTCATTTAACTGAAATTCTTACCCTTGGTACTTTTGAGGGGAAAAAGGAAGAAGACACGGAAGTGATGCAGACACTTGGGCTCACATTGTACACTCTTAGAGGTCAGTTTAGAAAACATTGTGCCTGCAGAGAAACTGTAGTCGTCAAGGTCATTATCAGTTAAATATTGACCTGGACTCTTTAAAAATACATAGCTCTTCAATGTTACATCATGAATTCATACATTTATATCCACTGTGTGGTGGCATAAGGGCAGTAAGACTTGCATCATTATTTAGTAAGCATAATGGTTATTTCGACAAACAGAATTATTTGAGCTAAAGGGTTGACAATGTAAGCATGCAAGTGCTGTGGTATTGTCTGCAGAAATCAGTTGCATAAATGTACTAGGTAAGCACCAGTTCAGAGGCCAAATCAAGTCTGGTCCCTTCCCCAAGCGGGGGCATGTTCCTTACACGTTAGGCCTGAAATTAAATCTATGAAATTAAAGTCTACTGACACCAATGGCCGCCTCCTAGTGCTTTCTTTCTTACAAAGCTTTGTGCATAGAAAAACTTTCTTGTTCCAGTTCAGCAAGTTAGCTTGTTGCTTTCCATCCTCAAAACTCACTCCTCCTAAGATTTCAGTATTAAACTGCTGTCAAACATCTGGCAGCTTTGTAGATAAGTTGGAATTATTAAAGAGTAAGTAAGAAAAAGCAAGCTTTCTCAAATGGCAAAACTCACAATCCTATCAAACCAAGTATTTCAAACCCAACATTTTCACTTGTCCTTCTGTCCACTCCTATTAACTCTGAGCCCTGTGCTCTTATTGTTGTTGATGGTGATTTACTATGCACGCTGAAACATAAATGTTTCCAGCTTTGTAGAAACAGTTTAAAGAAACATATTCCTGTCTCAAGATCTTATAACCTGTTGTCCTTTATTCTCTTTGAGTAACATATTCTTTGGCCCATTTTAATTACTTGGGTAAAATAGCAGTCAAAATCAAGATATTCAAAAAGATTTAATTTTGGTTTTCAAAGACAACTACCTGCGGGTATGGTGATGTCCTTGATTTTGACTTTGTGCTCGAGAGGCGAGATTTGCTTCCCTTTCTATTATCCGTTATGGTCGGAGTTGAATTTGCGTATGAGAATGCCGGCTTGGTAGCAGTGACCTGATCCAGGGAGAGCTGTAGTCCTTTATATTCAGTATCCCTATATAAAAGGCAAAAGTGAAAAAAAAAAACTCACTTCATATCTTAATGGGAAACATTCCTTCCTTCTTAGTGGGGGGTGGAAACAAAAGCTATTTTTAAGGAAAAAGAAAAAAAAAAACATCCAGGGCAAGCCAGTATATCCCCCTAATACATTTAAGTAGTATAGCTTACTAAACAGTAGCACTATTTTTATACTGAAAATATGATTTTGTTTTTGCATCCAACTGTTATCAACCTGATCTACTTTCTTCAGTAATAAAAAATGATGGGATGGAAATTTCTGAGATTTATATTACAGTTCTGCATTGGTCACATAGATAAGCAGTAAATGGAATACATTTTCCTCAAAACTCTAGAACTACAAACTTACCATGTGTGTATATGTGTGTGTGTGTTCATGCAAGTGTGGGGATGCACACAACAGCCTACATAGATGACTAAATAAATTGAACAATTTTTTTTTTTTTTTACAGAAAACACTTCATCTTTAAGGTTATATTTTTCATTGTTTCCAAGGTTTCAGGCAATTGGTATAAATTTTTGAATTTTTCTTCTTCTATGAGTCTTATGAGTGTTCATTCCTCTGTTTGAAGTTTCTTATACTGAAAGAGTTTACCAGTCAGAGAAAACAGCTAAATAAATACAAATCCTGTGATTTAAACAGTCTGTCCCCCACTCACAAAATACTACAGGTTTTCTATGGGGAGCTAGGTATAACAGCAGTTTGTGAAGCTCAGTATTAGTATCTTCAAACTTTCTAATGAATACATAAAAATAAGGAAAACTGGCATCATTCACAATGTCTTACTAAGCATAACAAGGGCATATGCATTGGACTGCACCCCTCTGCACACATCTGCATGTCTGCTGATACCCGGGGGGAGTAAGAAATGAGCTCTCCAGCTTTCATGTAGTCATACGGAATCTATTCTGACAATGATTTATTAAAAGAGAGTGAAGCAAGGGTTTCTTCCTGACCTACCTACCTGGAGGAAAAGAGGAAGGATTCATGGCTTTTCTCTTCTTTGTGTTAATCAGCAGAGAAGTAGGAGAGCAAGGGAAGAATAATACTTCACTTATGCAGTCAAGGAGGCAACATATTCATTCACACATTACCCCCCATACTCCATCTAAACCTAAAGACTCATCCTTAATGAATTATATTAATAATAAATTGTTCACCCAGCTTTAGCAACAATACCTTGCTCTATAATCACACATATATTGACATAAGCTGTGACAGTCTTAACATTTTTTAGGAATGAACTGCACCACAACCTGAGCGTATCACAGCTTAGTACACTGAAATACTTTCAGATAAAAGTCAGGGGCAGAAGGATAAACTTGATAAATCACTGAAATAAGTGAAATAGGATGAATCTTTAAAAAGCCACAGATAAATCTGCAGAACAGACAACCTAATTCATGTCTGTTCTACACTAAAATTTTTTTGCACCTGATAAACAACAAACTTGCTGGTTGAAGAGGCTTAGGTTTTTTGGCAATGCAGACAATGTGTATGTATCCATGTACACATAACACATGAAAACGAATCACTGACATTAGAACTGTGCCAACTACACTGCTTGCAGTCCATAGCAGACAGAGATTGGCCAAGTATAATTAATGTTTCGTAATGCGAAATTACTTCTTAATGAGGTCATTTCTTCAAATTTTGTCTTTAATAGAGATAGGCCTCTGCTATAATGTTTGCATTTCAAATATCCTGCCTGCAGTGAAAGCATCTGAATATAGGGATTTGCTTTGGTCTATTTGACAGGTAAGGCTCATCCACATATTTTGAAAGCATTAGTCTTTCCTGTGGTTACCCTCAGAATTTCCATCCAGACACCTTGACTTGACATGCAAAGCATCTGCCTCCATAACTGAGTCCTACCAAATTACTTTTATGTTATACAAAACATCAGAAACAAAGGATATCGATTAATCTTCATATTTAACTACCACAGTAACATGAGGTATTATCAATAGTCCTGAAAATAATATCAGTTTCATCCTGATATACACATTCCCCCTGACTATTTGATTATAAGAAAAGGAAGGGTCCTGTGGTCTCAGTGTCAGATGCAGAAAGTGTTGCCTTCAGAAATGAAAATTAGTCAAAACTAAGAAGACAAGTTGTTCACAATCTTAGGGATATGAGGAGGTTCTGTTTTGGTTTTGAACCTACCAATGCTTTTGCCTCACTTTTTGCTGGAGAACCCATAGCTTTCCACTCCTGCTATTACCTCCCCATCTCTGGTGTATGCCACCCTGTAACAGTCTGCTGCTTTCTCATGTCAGTAGAAGAGTTTTAAAAACTTGGATGAAACCACCCCAGTATTCAAACCACAGACTGTCACTCCAACACTACTTGCCTGCTGTTACAATCTGTGTAAGGGCCAAGCATTCAAATCATACAGACTACACTGTACAATGCTTCTAGGTCATGGGAATCTAAAAAAAACCCAGGCAAATCAGGCTGCCCAAAACCTTGCATGCCATTATGTGTTACTTTTCTAAGTCCTTGGTATCATTATGGTGAGGAGTCACCCTCCTGGAACATCACACATTAGAATAAACACCACAAGCTGGTATTTGCAGCCAATTGCTTAGACAGTAACATCATTAAACAAACAATAAGAATAAAACTGTCTGAAGTTCTTGCTGCCGAATGCAAAGTTTCCCCTTAGAAAAAGAACACATCTGTGCTGTCCTTGCAGATGAAACACCTGGACACTTCTACATCACCAAGGCATGATTCAATACCATCTCCATCCTATCCTAGCACAGCTACCCTTCAGAAGAGCCAATAGTAACAGGCCAAGAAAAATATCTGAATTTTTTTTTTTAAAAAAGCAAAGAAAAAACAAAGGAAGGGTCCTGTGGTCTCAATGTCAGATGCAGAAGATGTTCCACCAAGAAATGAAAATATTTGAGTATATCCATATGCACTGTGAGGCAAAGGACTAGATAAACCAGGGCTCCTAGTGGTACACAAACTACAGATGGAAATTATGACAACTTCCTGGAGGAATTTATAAAACTTGCACCAACCATGGAACTGTAATCTCCAAATTGCTGTACTCAGACACCTGAATCCTCTATTACACAGTCCCAGCAACACACTAGTACCGCATCTTGTGTTCTACATGTAATTCAAAAAAAGGTGGTGCATATGAGCCCCTTCCTCCAAGGTCCTCACCTTCAGGATCCCACAGGGATCCATACAGTCTACATCTATCTACATGAGACTGCTGAGAGAGAGAGTGATATGGCATGTGTTCAATTGCTAACAGTATGTTGCTGACAATCTACTATTTATCTCATTTTCTGATGCAACTATCATCACTATAAAACATCAGAATAACTACAGGAAATTAGCTCTTAAATGAAGAACAGATGGATCAAACTGAATCCAGACAAGACCAAAGTGATGCTTCTTTGCAAAGGGAAACACATTGAAGACCTCCACCTTTTCATGACGGGAAACAGCCATTCCTTCCACAGTTGGATGGAAATTCTAGGTCCTCTTTGACTCCTCAAAAAACTTGGATGCATATGCTTTTGGTAGCATATGCTTCCAAAAATGTATTATTTCTCCTCTGTCTTGTCCCTCCCCCCATATGAGAATCTGCCCAGTGTGATCAATGTATCAGGCACCTACAGACTGGATTACCATGCTTCACTGTAAGCAAAAAGAGATCAGAAGACAAAGCGTAAAATCCTGTTGCTACAATATGCTGCTTCCCATTTTCTTCTCAGATCTAACTCCCAGAAGCATTGCCACTCTGTGCCATGTCTCTGGCTCTTCCAATGCCCACTGAGCCAAATTTTCAAAGCGCTTATTAATGTACTAGAAGTAGCATCATGAAAAACCAAGGATCGATGGCTGTACCAACTGCACTTCTCTGCAATAAAGCATCTGCAAGTTGAGTACAAAGCATTCTTTACTAAAGGGATCTAGCTATAGCAAGCTGCATAGATGGAGAAGGACAAAGGCTGAAGCAGAAAAGCATTTGGAAGAGGAAGCCAATCTGTTTGCACATTGACTTGGATGCCAGCTGGATCTGCAACATTTGTGTGAAGAGTTCTCACAATTCAGCTCTAGAACACACTTTTTGCCTACTACCATTGCCCAAATATACAGTATGAAACGTGGTGGCAACACTCTGCCTAACAAAAGTTTGAGGAAGAGCTAACGACTCATTAGCAGATAGACCCAAAAAAAGAATAGTAAGGGAGTCACAGAGCACCACAAAACCTGAATTCTCAGCAAAAAAAAAGCTTGCACAAATATGGCAACGGAGCATGTGGATAGAGCTCACCATGACACTGAAAAAAATGAGAGGTTTTTTAATATAGCCTTTTTGAAGGAAAAGAGATGAGGAAAGGGTGAGTCAGCATTGCTAGAAATAATGTTGGGAAGACTGGAATTAGTGACAGAGGCCCAGTGGACACAGTATGGCCCAAGGCAAACTAAAACTGTACAGACAAGCCAAGCTTTTTTGTAGTTGTATTTCTTTGAGTAATATGGTGAAGTCTGGGACTACTTTAACCAAAATCTAAAAACTAAAGTGAGATTAGACATTAACATTAGAGAGCTAAAGGCAAAACCAGTTTTGAAGATATTAAGATTCCCAACTTAAAGACAGTGTTGGCTGTGAAACAGAAGAGAACTCAAGCCCTGAAAAATGCTTTCAAATAGAAAAAGTAGCTCGACAGGATGTATACAGAGGAAGGAGTAAAATAATGACATCCATTAGTGAAAAATAAATATCCATATTCAACCAAAAGAAATTAAAGACAACCAGACTCAAGAATAGAGGTCTTCTATATCTACAGTCATAAACAACATAACTTTCAAAACAAGAAGAAAACCTTCAAAAAAAGAAGAAAAAATGCTCAGCTCATGGAAAACTCTGCAAAAGCCATAAGAAAGAGCATCTTTTTATGTTAATGCCACAACATGCCAGAAAAGAAGAATAAACTGTATGT